TTCATCCATCCACGAATGGGGCAGTTGAAAAAGCGAACTCCATGGTGGAGCAGTACCTTAGGTGTTATGTGGATTATCAACAAATGAACTGGACTGACCTCCTCCGCTTCGCTCAGATGGCTTACAACAACAACGTTCACAGCAGCACTGGTTTCATGCCTTTTAAGATTGCCACGGGGAAAGAATTCAACCCAATACCTGAGTATCCTCAGGGACCCTCTACCTCCCAGACTCTTGACCAATGGAGGTCAGGATGGGGGGAAGTTTGGGACAAAACTAAAACCATGCTGAAAAAAGCCTCGGACACATAAAAAGCAAGCTGATAAAAAAAGGTCTCCCCAGAGATCATTCCATGCTGGGGAAAAGGTTTATTTATCCACAAAATATCTATGATTTAAATTGCCTAGTAAGAGGTTGGGACTAAAATACTTAGATCCCTTCCCCTTTGTCAGAATCATAAATCCAGTTATGGTGGAGTTGAAACTCCCATGACTTCTAGGAAAGATTCACCCTGTATTTCATTGCAGTTTATTAAAACCATTCTGGGGATCTACTTTACAACCTCCTCCCAAGAAAGCACCTGGTCCCCTAGTGGTAGCTGGACAAACACATTATGAAGTGAAACGTATTCTTGATTCTAGGTTTTATAAGGGAAAGTTGCAGTATTTAGTACAGTGGGATATCCATTATCAGATGCCACATGGGTAAAATCTAATGATGTGAAATCTAACAGGCTCATCTGTAAATTCTACGACAAACACCCAAACAAACCGAAAGCCGGCCCTTACCCTATACTTCTATTTAAATCACAGGACTACTCCTTTCTGTTAAGGGGAGCCGGATGTCAACGCTGTGACAATGGATGTCCGCGCTCTGACAACTGAGATTCAGCAGCCATTTTACCTTGCTTTTAATGTGCCTTTTCTATTCTTTTAGAGTTCAGATATAGAATGGGGGATCAGGTAAATGCTTGAGGGTTTATCTAGCCATAACAATGCAGAAGTGTGGGAACTCAAGGACATTGTCTGATAAGCTTTTGGTGGGCTGAGGAGCCGGAGAGAAAAGCCCACGTTTTGCGCTAATTGGAGAATGTGATTTATGACAGCTTTTGTGGGGTGGGAATTGCAACTTGTTACTTTTTATCTGGGAGGGAGGGAATCTTAGTCTTGGGTTCAACTATGTAAGTGCTGATACTTTGTTTCTTGGATAAAATGTTCTTTGAGGAAGAAATTCTTGCCTTGAAGTTCTTTTAATTGGTTTCATCTATCGGAACCATGACAGTTACATTAAAACAATGGGAAAATATTAAATTATATTGTCACAGTGGAAATTCAGTTTTAGTATCATGTATTTCTATAGCATGTTATCTCCATTAGACTACTGTACCTGACATAGCTATGTTGTTAAAAGTAAAAAACACACACACACACACACAAAAAGAATGAAGCTCAGAAAAATGCAACAGCCTAACAATTATACTTTTTCCAAAAAAGGTTAATAATGCAAGAGACATAAATTCATGTTAAGCAATTTAGAACTCTGAATTCTGTATTTTACATTTTAGAGAGACAGAAACATCATGTTTCCCTTTGCTCTTGAAATAATATACCTGTAAAATTACTTCTTATGTCCCAAACAATGACTTTAAAGTATTAATAATTTCCCTCAACCATGTTTAAATTTGTCAGCTGAATTTCTGGAATAGATTAGACTTTAGAGCTATTTTTTTAAATTTATACTCAAATTACTTTCCTTTAGGAATGAACTGATCTATGTATCAATTGAATTTTCCCCCCAAATATAGACTTTGTATCCCTTCAAAGAATATGAATTTCAGATGATATCTGACACTGGAGTTATTTTTTTCTACTACATATAACACATTGTCTCCCATTTCTTTTGTCCTTTGGAGATAGAAACTGTCTGATCTAGCTAAATATGGAGCAGATGCTGATCCTAGGAGAGCTTCTATTACAATTTTTCAAGAGAATTTTTCATATGGACGTTATAAAGGTAAATGTTTTTAAAAAACATCAAACACATTTAAGCCTTTTAAAATGCTAATAGACTGTTAATTTATTTGTCCAAAGAGAGCTTTTCACTTCAAGCTAATCTTGTAAATGTAATATAACTTTGAGAAGAGAAATTGGTAGGCCTCACATGAGAGTTGAAGAAATAAAATGGAAAGAAAATACATCATGCTAATATGAAGTTTCTTTCTACAGGCTATTTAATACTTTGTGAAGGTTATAAATGGAACACCAATTCTCTTTTATGCTGAAATAGTGGTAAGCAAACTTCGGACGGCCACAATTTCCCAAAGCCTTTTAGACAGTATACAATTTTTACAAATTGTTCACTCCTGCCTCCTACTTTTCTTGTGAATGGTAAAGGATTTGTTTACTTTGCAATGTCAAAACATAAGCATCTATACTGATATCAGACCCAGAGTGCAAATATTTTAAGAGATATTTCTTAAAATTATTAAATGATGCCATTTGTGAAATAGTAGAACTTTAGATCAGAAAATGTTTTGTAATTCATGAATAAAAAAGCAGCAGACAAAGAAAAGTAACTAGAATGAATATATTAATGTCCAAATAAATTAAAGTTAACAGGTACTTAAGAGTTGTTTCTTTATTAAAATTTTGTCTCATTTGTTTTTCCTTTTCCTATAGTTGGATTAGCTTCTTTGGCTGGTTTTAATAAGCCATAGTAGCATTATGTTGAGTGTACTTTTCCAAGCTAATGTTGACAATTATATTTATACTAATTATTTTACTTATGTATGCAAAATTCTCAACTTTTATATTTTAATTGCATCACTATTGCTGAGCATTGCTTTTATTAAACATTATAGACTGGCTCTGACTGGAAGCAGTTCTACATAAAGTACATTCATTCATTCTAACAGCCTTTTCTCTGGCTGATTTTTCTGTATTATCTGTTTAATCTAGGTTTTTCATGAAAGTAGGAAAGGAAAATTTATTGTTGCTAATCCCCATGCACAAAAATAACCACCTCAGCTGAACTACTTTTTTTACTTTTATGTGTTTCAGTCTCATGCATGTAAATACTAATAGAAAGAACCAATGAAGCTTTTGCCATTTAAAAGTATGTAAATTTACTACGAGGGATAACAGACTTAACTACACATGATATGATACGTGCATTTCCTGTAAATTTCAATTTCAACATAGATATTTGGTATACTTTTGTTGACTTCAAAAAAGTAAGTATCACTTGTCCCAATATGCTAGCCAGGAAAAGAAACTCCTGAGACATTTTTTTCTTCTGAGAGTATACTTTACTGAAAAGCCATGTGGATACAAAAGTGGAAAAGCCAGTTCTAACATTTCACGTGTAAAAGCATAAAATAAATTCATCTTTCCCCCCTCCCTGGTCCTCCCATGGTCCTTTATCCACCAATCTGTTGCACCTGGGATATTTTGAGAACAATTTGTTTGCCTCTGACATTATCAGAGTTGGTGACTTTGGGGTGGAACTGTGTCATGTTTTCAAATGACAAACTTGCATTCCAGAGTTTCCCTCCCAAATCACCCTCACATTCCAATGCCTTCCCTCCCCCCTCCCATTATTGTTGTCTGGTCACGAGCAGACTGTGTAGAGTCAATCCTGACAGTAAGCAAGAATTGACCTGATTAGTACTTGGAGAATATTCTAGATAAACCTTAACTTGAAGAAGATATTATCTCTTCCAAAATGTGGAATGTCCTGGAAGTTGGACACTAGATAGAACTACAAGTCCACCAAGGTAACTGTTACAAATGACAACTATTCTAATATTTGTAATACAAAAATATGTCATATAATTTCCTTATACAACATATTGCTGGTACAGAATGGACAGAATAGTTACAGGAAACACAGACTTTGGACCCTAAGATGGCCCATATTATATTTCTGCTCTGCAAACTTCAATGGTTACTGGGTCTGCTTCCAAGTGCACTCAAAGTGTTGGTTATGACCTTTAAGGTCTTTATTGACATAGGTCCAGACTACTGTCCTGCTAGAACAAGTCTGTCCTACTCATGCTTTGGATCCCGTCAGTCAAATAACTCTATCAGGATCCAGAAGTGCCTTCTCTGTTGCCGTGCCCATCCTTTGGAACATGTTAACCTTTAAGGTAAGATCTGCCCCCCCCCCATCTTCTCACAAGCAGCTGAAGACCTGACTCTGCTGATTGGTCTGGGGGCCAAATGGGGCCAAATGGGGGAGTTTCATACTGGATATGGCTGCTGGATTGAGGGCAGACTCTGCCTTCCACTTCTTGCTCTCTACTCTCCACCCATCCATCTTTTTGGTTATCATATTGATGTAGTGTTATTGTGTTATTTTTCATTGTTTATTTTATGGTTCTATTATTTTACTAATTTTACTAATTTCTAAATTCTGCATTTCAGTTCTCAGATCAAAAAATATCCATAACTGTGTAACATTTTTTTCTCTTTGTATAAGAAAGCAGAGAAAAATTGTAAGAAAAAAACTTCAAGCTTTCCTGTTCATGAGAAAAAAGATGAAAATAAGGTTTAACATCTTTTTAAACAGAACTTGCACTTGAGAAAGAATGCAGTGCAAATAAAAATCATACAGCTTCAACTGTCAGTAAACTCTACTCTTCTAATGTAGTGTAACCTGTATCATGAAGGGTACTAGAAGTGGGTAGTTGACACAAAGAACTCTGCCAATGAAAACAGGATGAAGCCAAAACTGAACAAAGGGAGTAGACAGACCTTACTAATAAATAAACTGTTTAAAACTGAAGCACAGGACTTTATGTCACAGAAGATGTTTTGTACCTTATTTTCTTTCTGTAAACAGATTTTTTCTAGTTCTATTCATTTTTCCATAGAAAAGCATCTGTATGAAATATATTGCAAAAAATGGCCAGGCAGAGAAAAAATGAACAACTAAGTGTTTTACTGTAATATGCATGCAAGTAATTTAGTATAGAGAAAAAAGGAAACAATATGCTGATAGTCATTTGGACAGTAGAGTTTATTAGAAATATCTTCATTCTTCGGTGAATTCACATTAAAATATGCTGAAGGCAGCTCAATCAACATTTGATATCCTGCCATTACAACAACTTCCAGTTAAAAACTAGTTCATGATCAGGCAGAGAACTGTGAATGTAGCAGAAAAAAATTACAAACAAAAACAGTTCCCTTAAAAATAAGTTGATCCTGATAAATGAACACACATTCTAAGCAAAGGAGAAAAAGATGTAAGAACAAAAAAATTCCTCCCTATTTTTGAGAGAGAAATTCAAAATGTAATACTCAAAGTGTGACAAGATAAACAAAATGGTATAAAGTTACATATTATTGTTCCTTGCAAGTTTTAAAACAAGTCATTTATAGGCTAACTTTTCCTGTTTCTGGAACCATGTGTTGCCTCTCTGAGGGATGTCTGGTAGAATGCCTGGGGTCTGGAGGAGGGGAGTGGCAAACAATAAAACATGTTGCAGTATAAATCCTGCCCTTATGTAATTGGCTGTGATGCTATGATAGCATGTGTTTTGCCAATTTGGCATGGTGTTAGAAATAGATAACAATTTCAGAGAATGAGGTATTCACATAAATATATGCACAAATGTATGAGCCAAAGCATAGGGGCATCTGAACATTGTGGAACACTCATCAAGACCTTGGATATTCACATGAAGGCTGGCACACAATTCTGGCAAAGGGCCTGGCTATCTTTTGAACTCTGGGAATTTCTCAATGTACATGGAGTGGGTTAATTCAAGCCTTCTTATGTCATAGGCACATTACAGGAAACTTGGTATTTGGAACTCAAAAAGTATATAATATAATTAATAATAATGTGGTCATGAATAAAAAGGTGGCATGATTTTTGATAAATTAAAATAGGTCTGAACCAGAATACCTGACCTAAAACCAGTTAAACTGGAAAAGACTAATTTGAGTAAATTTTATCCTACTGAAGAAATAAAACCAAAAACAAATTAAGAAAGTCAACTAACTTAACTAATTTGTAGACTGAGCTGAGTTGCTTTGGAAAACAAGATCAACTATCTTGTTCAATAATGTAAGTTAAAATATGGCAGATAATATATTATACCAAGAATGTTATTTTCTGAAAAAGCTGAGCACCTAAATGTAAGAGACCACAATCTTCCAGTACCAATGAGGCTTCTATGTTCCATGTGCAAAGGTCCCCAGTGTCTTCCTATGGTGCACACTAGATGTGATGTGTTTCCTGCCCGAGCAGGGGGTTGGACTAGATGACCTCCAAGGTCCCTTCCAACTTTACTACTACTATTATTATTATTATCTGGAACATTTTCTTTCCAAAATGAGAATAAATAGATTGCATGAGTAAGAAATTTTGCATCATAATTGATATTGTAAGAACCCTAATTATTTGATATATCAAGTTCCAGTATTTTGAGAAACATCAAACAGTGATTATTTCTTTCACATGCTGATACTGTGACCTATATAAAATAATATTCTTCTTTCATGAACACTAGTTTGGGGAGTTGTATTGCATCTCTTGCACATTAGGCACATATCCAATATTAGGTCTAACCTAACACACATATCACATTTGGCTCTTACCTGTGAAAACAAGCTTTGGATTCTGCATAACGAGGCTGTGTAACAGTATAGGCAACAGTTATTCTACTGAAAGAACTAAATAAATTCAACATTTTCACATTTCTTAGTAGTCTCCATAATCTTCTGCTATGGTTTATTTTTTAAAAATGTAAAAAATAATTAAATAACACTCAAAATATCCACCATGAAGATTTAAATTCTGATGTAAACAATTTCTACCATTTAGAGCTCTAGAATCATATTACTGATATTGTAAATAATTTTTCAAAGATTGAGGCAAAGGTAGAGTTTCTATATCATGCAGCCGTTCTCGTCCCAAAGCAAAGCGAATTGATCTTCGACACAGATCCATTAAAGGTAGAGGTTCAGCTGAAAATGAAACAGAAACATGTCATCATTTTCATTTTCTTATCCTCATTAATAATAAAAATGTAATAGTAAATGAATAATGTCACTTTTAAAGTAGATCTTTTAAATAAATGCATATATGATGAACTCATCATTACAGAAGAAATCTGCTGTCATGGAAGTAAGTAGGGAAAATAAGGTAAGGATAAGTATTATGTATGTTCACTGCCTTGAATTATTTATTTAAAAATAGCAGATTATATATAAAATTGCAGGAGCCAATCTGAGTCGGTCACTGGGATCAGACATTTTGTCTTTCGAGTTTTCCGACTTGTGCTGGAGCTCCCATCCTCAAGGAACTTCGAGCCTGAAAAGTCGAAAAACAAAAACTCTGTCCCAGTGATCGACCCAGATTGGACCCTGCAACATTATCCTGGAACACGTATTTGTATATATAAAATAAAATTAAAATATTGTCTATTTCTTGGAGCAATACACCTATAAGCATTTAAATTAAGAAAAAAAACATATACAATTGATCAGGATTTTCAACCTAGATAGAAATTGCTTGAAGACTTAAAATACAATACTCTCTGCAGCTGGACTGAGATGCCTGACCTTTAAATGTTATATTTGTTTCCATTTAGGAAAAGAAACTAAAATGTAATTGAACTTCTAAAAGAACCTTTTCAGTGCAGGGTGACTTTCCACTGAGGTGCTGAAGTAAACAGAAATGACACTTTCTCTCTGACATCTCAGCTAATAAACAGATTTTGTTCATATGAAAGACATTTTTTTCTTAAATAGCTCTAAAACAATTGCAAGAGTATCAGAGACAAAAACATTCAATACTTGAACCATAATTTTGTTTTAAAGCTTGCTTTCATTTCAGTATCTGTCCCCTCCCTCCCAAAATAAAAGGTTTTTTTAGCTTTTACAAACAAGGAATAAAGTTGTGCTATTAATTGCTAATTTTGTAAAGAATCTATTGCTAATTGGCCTGGGTAGTTCTCACATCAAACACTGTATGACTTGGGTGTGCAAATTGAATGTAACCACTTAATATTTTTATGGTTCTCACGTTAAATGTTCAAACATTGTTATCTACATGCAAATCCTTAAGATTTATAAAGAGCTTTATTGTGCTTAAAGACAAAACACAGAGGAAACATTTCATTATGGGGGGAGAATATGTCATAGGACACACTGCACTTTCAGCATTCTGGGACAGAACAAGACAGTTAAAATGTCAAAATGTTCTTGACATATCAAAAGCTCTTTCAGACCCATTGTAGGTAACAGTTCAGTAGTTAATGTTTTGACAACTATTGTACCAGAATGCTGAACTGCACTTCCTAGTAATTAAAACCAAAATTAAATACAGACCAAGAATTGATTTTTACAAGTTACTACTTGTTAGTAACTCCAAAATTAGCAAATTTATATATATAGCAACCATTTGTGATTTACCTTGTGACATTTTTAGTAGATTCTTACAAAGTTGTTAGCACAACCATTCCCCAGCAAACAGATAAAAAGCAGTTATCAAAAGAAGACATTAAAAGTAGCAATTACCCTTATCTCTCAAATGTGTTTAATACCTTCCCCTCCCCAAGTGTTGGACAGGATATTTGTTTTAAAACAAAAAAAAGTTCTGTGTTAGCCATAATTAGAGTCAAAGTGTTATGTAGGTTTATATAAAATATATTAAAAAAACCAAATTTGATAGAAAACAGAACACTCCAGGGAAAAACTCCTAATTATATTTCTCTATTATATGTACATAGGGAAAGTTGCACAGATCCTAGATTAGTGTCAATTTTCCTAAGTAAAATAGACGGGAAACATGAATGGATGAATTAATTCTATTTTATGATAAGGCTATATTAACAGAATCTTGCCAGTCTTCGCAGTACAAACTTCCCACCATCACTTCCTAAGTTTCTTTCCCTGTTAATTCTTTGAGGGCATCTCCCCTCTTTGCTTGATTGTTTCCAAGGAGCATCTCTTCTTCCCATTCCCCAAAGTCATTCCACTACAATTAGTGTCTGGATGCTATTTTAGACTGAATACAGAGTACTTTTCTACTTTGTTTTTAGCTTTCATTGATGTTCCACCTACAGACATCTCAGGACACAGAACAACTTAATTATCGGAATGTGCTTTATTTGGAGTTGTCCTTTCATGTGATCCAGAAGGTACAGAGAGTACAAAATGCAATAGCATTGTTGCCTTTATATGTATTCCATTCCTGCCATGTAACACTATTTTTGAACAAGCTGCACTATGTGAGATTTAAGATTTGACTTTTGAATAATTGAGATCATGATATCTAAGTGACTGCCTTATTCTATTGACATCTGTCTGACTATTTTGAATCTCATTAGAGGGCCTCTTGGAAGTACTGCATCTTGAGATGGCTATCTGATATCAACCAAAAAGAGGTACTGCTTAGGTTATAGTAATAACCCTTACCTAGTTTGGATTTTTTTAAAATTGATATCTATTTTCTCTAAATGTGAACCATCTATTATCTTCCTGCTACCTGATAGATAAATAGACAAAATTTCAGTTCTTTTTAGAACTCATTGTTAAGATGCTTTAATAAAGATACTGCTGAATCATCTGAAATGATGTCAGTATGCTGGCATTTATTTACTGATACATTTTTAAAAAGATTCTCTGTCAATTCCGTGTTATCTACTTAGCAGATAAATATTTTACTTTTTTCCCATTCTGAATAGCTCCCTTGTATTTTTTGTGTTTGTTTGTATATTTTTCTATAAACACTACTAGCTTACCAACTACATTTCTCTAATTACATAAAAAACATTGAAGTAATTCTTAATCAAGACCTGATCTTGTGAATAGCCAATCTTTGTATATGCTCTTTTTCCATATAAACTTTTAAACAGACTTTCTCCTCATTTAAATTTTTCCTTAGAAAAAAATATTTCTGTTAAACAGCTACGAATATCCTGTAATCTAATGCTGAAAAAAGTTTAAGGTGAAAAAAAGAAGTTTTTAACAGTTGTCACAATCATTCCAAAGCAAGAATGGGCAGCAGAATTTGAGAAGGATATGGAGTGGAATGCATTTAATACAAGTAATTCCATTCCTCACTATAGGTGGGAATAGGACTGGGACAATGATGATCTGCCCTGAAAGAGTGGGACAATATATCTTGAAGGAAGTGAGGGTGGAAGAAGATGAGAAAGTTTTTATAACTGGAAGAAGAAACATCCATAACCTGTGCTATGCTGATGACGATAATCTGATAGCTGAAAATCCAAGTGTCTGCAACCTATAAAGTGAAAATTTGACTTTGAAGAAACAGGTTAGAAAGTGTATTGGTAGTTTTGAATTTTTCTGTTGGAGAAACCTTCTGATAATATGTACAAATGGATCATTGAAGGAAAAAACGCAGAGTTTTCACTAAGGCACAAATGATCAGGCTCAAATTTTCCTACTTTGGACAGATTATATTATGACCTACCTCTCTGAATAAATCTTTAATGCTGGAAATATGGAATGAAAGAAAAAAAGAGGATGACTAGTAACAAGGACTTAATTAGAGCAATGATGAGTGCACTGCCGGAAGACCTGTAAGACCAAGTTGGGAACAGTACCTTTTGGAGAAAAATTAAGCTAAAAATTGATTAGTGATTGCTAAGAATTGATAATTTAATAACTCGTCATCATCATCACTGGAACTGTATTACCAAAGTTAGGAAGGTCAGTGTAGATGAAAACTAAAGGCTGCTAAAAACAGAATTAAGAATCGCCATTCTTTTTATATTTCTTTTGTAAAATCAGTTAGAATTGGTTCCAGCAAATCTTTTGGAAGCTTAATGCCATTTACACTGATGCCAATAATGGGAGAGCAGATGCTTGAGGATCATTGACAGGAGAAAAAGAACACAGTCATCTACTCAGAGAAATGAGAGAGCCACCAGATAATTTTTCAAATATGGTACAAAGCCTATTTAAAAAGTGCCATAGTTTATAAGTCTGCAGCTTTCAATACTTGCTGACAGTATGTGGCTTGAAGATGAGAATATTTATGACAAACCTGTTTGGTAAATGTACATATAAATACATAAAAGTGACCTCTGGCATCTTTACAAGACAAAAAAAATGGATTTGTACACCTTTAATATGAGAAAACCTACGATTAGAAGAGAGTTAATCTAGTAAACTCTAAAAAGTTTTGAAGAAACATGAAAATTGATGGCAGAAAAAGACCTAGTGGTCCATCAAGCGTATCCTTTGAGTTTTTTGTTTCTTTTCTTTTTATTTATTTTTAATTATTATTTTTAAAATTTTATTTATTTTTTAATTTTTCTCAGATGATGGAGATGTGTTTATGCCAAGCATGTTTAAACTCAGTTACTGAGTTAAACTCTAGACTGATCCACTTACCTCCACTGGAATTTGGTGCCAACCTTCCATTACTGTTTCTGTGAAGTAATATTTTCTAACATTACTTTTGAACTTCTGTTAGTTTGAGGTTATGCCCCATGTTCTTGATTTTTGCTTACTACTGAAAATACTTCCTTCTAGAACTTTACTGACACCCTTAATATATTGTCTAATCTCTCCTGATATTTTGTCCCTCAGATCTTGCAATATTTTTGTTGATCATTTCTGGAGTTTCTTAGTCTTATCATTTTTTTTAAGTGAGGTCTTCACATATTTAACATATTTCAGAATAGTAATAGGACAACAATCTTCAGAATAATCATAATAAGACAGTTTGTTCAGAAAACAGAAATACCAGCTTTTAAAAAATCTAAATATAAAATTTTCAATTAAAGGGACAATTCTTAAAAACATCACTCACAGATACATAGTTGGCTAATATTAAAATTATGATAATAGGCTTAATAAGAATATGACATGCTGTTTTAAAAACATGTTTTATAAACAAAAGAACTATGAATTTGATGTTATAGCACAGATATGGAAAATCATAGAATTAAAACTTATACAAACTTATAAATCCCGTGTTTTTCCTGAAC